TAACTCTTTGCTCTATCTTGATAACTATACAATGACTACTCTTCTACTGTTCCAAGACTGGTTTTCTATCACAGAACTAAAGTTTTAACTTTAAAGTTCCCAGTCCTCGGACCACCCACCCCCTTAAAAAGGTGTGGCGACTGCCACACCTAATACATGGGTTCGGCGCCACTGTCATCACTAGCATCACTAAATTCACTACCCATTGTGAAAAATAAACACGAACTAACTTTACTGTCTGCTGTAGTGCTGCGGCAACAACAGCAGAAATTACGACGAAAACGTAATAACAATGTTCTGATATTAATGTTATCGTCATACTATCGTTGAAACGCGCTACTGGGAAATACATACACACTGGGGGTACAATATTATAAATAACACAATAAACAAAATCCATAAAACGATAGTGAAATAAAAATAATATTAGATATTTTGGAGTTGGACTACAACCTATTTTTCTCACAACCGCATGGACTAAAATCTTTCTTCACCAGTAGGGGGAATATGAGGCAAACTGGGGACGCTAATGTCAGTAAGCCTGTAATTTGCTTAAAAATCAATTTTTCCCCTTCAAATGTTGTATACTTAATCTGGTTATTGACTAGGCATTTATTAAGTTTAAAAAGATGTTAAAAAATTTACAGTTTACCCCACTTTGCCCCACGTATGGGGACATAAACAAAAGTCATTTAAATTAAAATATTTTAATAAATTTTCCAAACAAAACAAATTATTTATAAAAATACAAATTGCAACTTTTTGAATACAATAAATTAAATTAAAAACGATTTTAGGCACAAAATTCACACTTAAATATTGTATCACAATCTTTTTCTTCGGTTCCAGCACAAACACAATGAGCCCATTTTTTACACTGTACACACTGAATCCACCCATCCACTGATGTCGAGTAAGGCTCATCGCAATACAAACACTTTTCATCTCCTTGGTTGGTTTTAGTTTTCTTACTAGGATTTTTGTGGGTTGTTTTAGTTTTTTTTTTTTGGACGAACGATAAAGAACGTTTTACTTGTCTGGGCGTTGCACTTAATATGTTAGCAGCTAAAAGCTCATTTTTGTAAGGCGATTCTGTGAGAATTGCTGTTTTTCCTCTTTTTCTAGATACTCGTGCGGTGGTTTTATTACTTTTAGGAATAGGTTTAATTTCTTCAGGAGATAGAGCAAAAATGATTTTGTAACTGATATTTTAGCACCTGCTGGTGTACATTCTGGTGAACTATGCTGTGTTAGAGAAAGAGTTGAGTCATTATTTTGTTGTCCAATAGGATTTGAAATTGCAGGATGAATGATGGGCAGACTATTTGTTTGTATGATTGAAGTAGACACTTCTGGTTGAACTGGGAGCACACTGTTTGAAATATTTTGCTGAACTGTTACTGAAACATTTAAATCTATGTCAGTAGCAGTACTAGCAAGGAAGTCATGTTCATTAAATATTTTCGGATCTACTGGCCAAATGCCTGTTGCTCTAAAGCCACTGATGACTGTTGTCATAGTTGATGCTTTTAAATATGCTTTACCAAAAAGTGAAGCGATCTGAAACTGTGTGACAACTCTGTGATCTTTAGCATGCTCCCTAAGCCATTTCTTAACTTCATCACTGTAATATAAGCTAAGTGGTTTCATAAAAGCTACGTCTAATGATTGCAGTCTATGCGTGCAGTGAGGTGGAAAGCAAAGCAATATAACAGCAGCATCTCTAGCTTTATCAATTAGTTCTAATGACTTAGTATGGGTAGCATGGCCATCTAATAAAAGTAAAACCTTGTGGGTCTTAGATGCTCTGGAAAAAATTACAAATTTATCAAACCATTTAAGAAACAAATCGGTTTGTATCCATCCAGATGGATGAACTTCGGCCCATACTCCAGGTGGTCCACCATCTATAAGTTTTGGTTTGTTTCTTACGCGAGGAGAAATAAGCATTGGAGGCATGTATGACTGCATATTATGCAGTATATATGCATATATGCATATTTCAGCAGTTATCGTGTGGCCTCCTTCAGCAGAAGTTATCGCTCCTACTTGTCTGCGGCCAGGTCATGCAATAACTTTACTATGAGATTTTGGAACACAAGTTATCCCAGTCTCATCAACATTGAATATTTGTGAAGCTATTCATTTATTTTTATCCACCACTTCAGTTAACAAAGCAAAAAACTTACCAACAGCAACCTGATTGAAGCCTGAAGCTCTAGCAGCTGACGTAGCTTCAGGTTGACGTAATGGCAAATCTGAATGTCGCTTCATAAAGCCATATAACCAGTCCACTCCTGCTAAATTATCTTTACAAAATATATGGCCTATATTATTTTTTACTGCTAATTGGTATGCTAAACTTCTCAACTCTAATGAAGTCAAACCAAATAAACGCGCTTCCATAGTCTTTATGTACTCTACTAATTCTACCTTCTGTTCTTGAGTAAACACTGTTTTGAATCATCCAACACCTATAAAATAATAAATTAAAATCATAATATCATACTTAGTATAATTATTCTATATTTAAATTTTGAATATAGATTTATTAGAAATATTGAATTTGGTTTCAAAAGAAAAATATTTCACATTTTGTAATTGAGAATTTAATTGATGTAAATTATTGATGTATATAAATTATTATATTATTACCTTAAACATTTGGAACCAGAATTTTAAATTTTGTTATTGTGTTTATTTTTTTATTATAAAAAAAATAGATTACCTTTTGTGCTAGCTTTAACTAAATTGTCAGTTGCTGCAAATTGTTTTTCTCTTCTTTCCAGAGCAGTTTGAGGAACACCAAATGCATCTTCTTCCCATCTCCTTATTATTATATGCTAATATTGCAGACTTCATAGAGTTGAATAAATAATTAATAATAATTAATAATAACATTCAACCCCATGAATGTTGGTTGGTTTTTCTATTATAAAGCCTAACCATTCTAAAACCACATCATTTAAATAAAATAAAATTTGAAATAGGTATGGGGCAAAGTCGGGCCACTTTGTCCCGATTGATTAACTTACCTAGAKCCTTTGATTTGATTTTATTCAAATAGTTAAATTGAAATAAAGAACATTAAACATTAAATCAAGAACACACACTTTTTAATAAAAAAAAATCATCTAAAACAAAGCACAAAATAATTTAATAGATCAATAACAAAATATTAACTTACGGGCGTAATTTTTTTGTGAGGG